TAAATTATTTTTTTTTTTTTGAAAGTTTTGTAACTAATGTTTATTTAGATAAAAATTATTATAATTAAAATTATAATTATGCTATTATTTTATTATTATTTATTAGTATATTTCCCTTTTTTTTCTTTATTACTTCTGTTTTCTTTTTTTATTTTAAATTAGTTGTAATAAATATTTCTTATTAATTACTACTTTAAAAGAAAAGAATCAGATGAATTAAATAAGAGAAAATAATAATACGTGAATATTGTCAGAAGAAAGGAAAAACAAGAAGATGATAAGAAAATGAAATGAAAGGGTATATATCTTTATCTCCAGAATAAAATAAATTAGATAAAAATAATGAAATAAAAGAAAACATTAAAGAAAACTAACAAAATAAAAGAATTAAACAAAAGAAATTGTACAAAATAAAAAGCATAATGAAAAAGAATAAATTAAGTATAAAAAACATAAAATAAAAGAATTAAATTTCATTTATAATATTATAATAATAAATATAATTAAAGAAGGAAATAAATTATTTTATATTTATAAATATTTTTTTTTTAAATTTTAAATTGTTTATGACAAAAACTAATACCAACTGAATTATATACTTAGTGAAACATAAAGTATTATTAATTACGACCAAAGAAAACAAAACATTAACACAAAACTTTTCAATACCTTAAATTTTTAATTGTATTTATTAATTTTTCATATTTGAAATATCTTAAAATAACTCAAAAATAATTTTAATAAAACAATGTTATATGAATAAAGAAAAATAATATAAACCCTTAAATTTTATTTACGACATTTGATTTATTAATCATCTTTATCTTTAGGATTTAAAGAAAGAGAAGCAAAACGATGAGAAATTGTATCTATGTTAACTTTTTCATTTGGGTCAATATGAAATCCTACATTTTTGATTTCAACTTGTTGTTTTACTGATTTTTTTGGAATATTTTCATCTTCATCACTACAAACATAAAAAATACAAGAAACAAGAATAGTAATGATTAACATTAAAACCTATTAATATCAATAACGTACATTAAACATTTAAAGAAATGAAAGAAATCAAACAAGAAGACCAACAGGAATCATCCATAATGCTATATGCATTGTTTAACTGACATTTTGAGATGAGACTTGAACCAAAACAAAAACCAAAAGAAACCCAAAAGTATTATTATAAGTTGTTACAAATAGCCATGTTAAACAAATCAGGAAGATAATACTGGATTACTATTGGTGATACCACTTTACAAAGTGTTGCTAGAATAAATCCTCCAATATAATATGAGAAAAACTCTACAGCATAAATCATTCTTTGATGATTCATTTCTGGAGTAAATTCTAATGGGTCATGATGACAATGAAAACGTATTTTATTAGCATTAGAACTATACCAATCTAATAATTTAGGACATTTAATAAAAATACTATATAATCCAAGGTGTATAAAATATCCAGTACCTGATATTACAAAACCAATACAAAATGCTTTTAATAATAAGAATGGGTAATGAATTGTACATGAATATGGTGGCATGTTTTTAACTACTTTATGTCTTTCAAATACTTCCATAACATAATTCATAAAAACAAATCCAAAACCTACAACTGATCTCCAATAACATGGGGTATATTGAGAAAAACATAATGAATGTAATGAAAGTAAAATAACTTGTGTAAAGAAAAAGAATGGAATAAAATACCATTCTCGAGGAATATCTGGAAATACAATATAAAATCCAATTGAAACAAATCCTAATAATGCTCCAACAATCACATCTGCTGGTGAATGAACCCCCATATAAATTCTACTTAGAGCTACTATAATCACATAAATAGTTATTAAAATACATACCCACCATACTGGTTTAAGATACATTATTAAAAATATCCCATTTGCTACTGCATTCATTGTATGAGTTGATGGTAAACCAAAATCTAATTCTTTTAATGGCTGCCATACTCCTGAAGGTCTTGGACAAGCAAATAGATTTTTCATAAAATTTCCAATATATGTAGTAATGGCAATTAATAATATTAATGCATTACTTATATAAATTGAATCTTCTGATGGATGTAACCACCATGCAGTTGGTACAAACGCAATATATACACCTACTCCAGCTAAATGAGTCATTACATAAAAAAATAAGTCTAAAAACTTATTCTTTTTCTTTTGTAACTTTTGAACCCCAGGCATTGACTTAGTAACAGTTCGATATAAGAAATTACGTAAGTTAGTAAAGGCAATTATCATTCTACATTTTCTAAGTTCTTTCCTTAAAGAGATTTTTTTATCTTAAAAAATACTTCATTTTTGTTGGAAAATATAGGAATTTTGGGTTGTACAGTTCAACAGCAGAAGATCCAATCTCTAAGTCACACAACAGCAATTTGAACAGAACAAAGAGGAAAAAATTTGGTTCAACCAAAAGTTCATTTTTTAATAACAATTTTTTTTAAAAAATTATTTTTTCTTTTTTGTTTTTTTGAAGCTTTTAATTAAATCAAAAAACAAGTTAATAAAAAGAGATTATGTTATTATTGTTGCACAACTTTGAAATAGAATTTACAAGTAGTGTAGACACCAAGTATTAAAAATCCAACGATAAGTACTGTATAAAATATAATATTTACTTTTTTTCGACACATAGCATGTTGAAGAGAGGCATCACTAATATCTAATTTATCTTCCATACTCTGTATTTTTACTGAAGCCTGACGTAATGAGTCATTTGCTTTACGCATATTCTGAAGAATATCAATGGCAATTTCAGCTGTTTGATTAGACATAGAAATGCTATTGTTAAGAGAATCATCAATTGTCTGATTTGATGTGGTCATTTTTGTATTGTTTCACAAAATGGTATTTTTGCATAAGAAAATAAAAGAAGAATTTAAATTATATACTATTTTAATAGTTCTACTTGATATTATTTCAATACTTTAGTTCAGAAAAGATTGTCTATACTTTAAAATAAATACAATGAATAAATAATGTTTATAGTTGTTATTAAATAATATATTAAAATTATTTAAACATTTTTGTGTTGAAGACTTTAAACTCCAAAAGAAAAAAACAAAAAAGTAATTTTTATTTGTTTAGAATTTTATTTTAAGATCGAAGGTGGCACGTCTGAAAC